TTGTCAGTGATAATCTTCGCAACAAGCTCAGGGATGTCTTCATTATCCTGCTCAGGAATACCGTGAAACATCAATATTTTTCTTCGGCCATTCATCTCCAATTTATCAATATTCATCGCAATGATGTGAATCTGAGACTGTAGTGCATTTAGTGATTCCAAAATAAGTTTTGAAAGCAGCAAACTCACCAGCCAAACTTGAAGTGTTGGTGGTGGTGGTGCTAGGTACATTTGGAGACTTCTGTAAGTCAGCCTCAAATTTAGCCATCCTGCTATTAAATGTCTCCATCAGCTGAGTTAGCGTATTCTGTACATATATACATATGTTCCATTTTGTGTCCGAAGCTATGTAGGTATTTCTTTAGTTTAAATTAATTAATTTCTTACAATAAGAGGAAAATAACACTTCAGCGGGTGGTTTCTAGTGTTAGCAATCAATTGTGCTCATCCAAAAGGAGTTACTCTTAACAAATAATTAAATAATTAATTTTAATCACAGAGTGTTTAAATTTATGACTTACTTTTTCAACTACCCGCGAGAGAGGTAATCTATCAAATTTAATCCTGGAAATGTAAAAGGAACTGCCTATAATTATACTCTGCGTTTTATTAGGATTAACTTTGACACCAAAAGAATTACTCCACTGGACGATTCGCACCAGGTCTGAATTAATAGCGCTAATAGCATCATCAAGTCGCTCAAAGCACTCCTGAGAGTAAATTTGAAGATCATCTGCATACAAGTGATAGGAAGAAGAGAGTTGTTGGGTAATAGAATTAATAAAAATAGAAAATAATAACGGAGACAGCACACCGCCTTGAGGAACACCGGCAGTCGTGGACACCCACGTAGATACTGTATTTTCAGCACGTATACGTTGCCTACGACCATGTAAATAGCTACGAAACCAATCAAGCACCGCTGAAGATACGTTGAGGGAACGAAGTATGCCTAACAGAATGTCAAAATCAACAGTGCCAAAAGCGTTGCTGAAATCCAGTAACGTTAACACCGTTAATTTCTGATTCTCCATCCCATCACGAATGTCGTCTGTAATCTTAACTAAAGCCGTTGTAGTACTGTGTCCAGGGCGAAAACCCGACTGGTAAGGGTTAAATAGTTTATGTCTGTTAAGAAAGGAATTTAATTGTTGTTGGATAAGGCGTTCAAATATTTTTGAAAGTAAGGGAAGAATAGATACGAGGGTCAAACTGAAAGTTCTTAGAACTGGCCACTTATAAACAATATAATAAAAAAATAATTCTAAAATTTGAAAATATAACTCTTTGCCAATATTACTGAGTATATATTTCATTCATTTGTCATTTGTTTTACGATTTGGCGGCAAATTGAAAATTGTCTGTGTCACGTCATCATGAATTTAACACGAGAAAATTTTCGTGCAATGATTTTTTATGACTTTCGATGTCATTTAAGTCAACAAGAAAGTTATGATAGACTACGATTGGCCTTTCACGATGAAGCCCCATCTCGTGCGACTGTTTACAACTGGTTTAATGAGTTTAAACGTGGTCGCACTAATCTCACTGATGATTTACGTGAGGGACGGCCTTCTACGGCGACGACTGAAGATAACATCTGTGTTGTGCGGCGTATGATAGAGACTGACAAAAGAGTGACCTATCAACAGATTCGGACAAGCTTAGGCATCGGTATGAGTCAAGTGCACAAAATCCTCCACGAACATTTAGCGGTCAGGAAGCTTTGCGCCCGGTGGATACCTCATAATTTGACTGAGGCTCAAAAACTCCATCGTGTGGATTGGTGTCGTAAAATGATTGAAAGATTTAACGGAGGTGACTCAAATGCTGTGTTCGACATACTAACAGGTGACGAAAGCTGGATTTACTGTTATGATCCTAAAACCAAAAGACAATCTGCTCAGTGGGTGTTTCCTTTCGAGGAGTTGCCAACTAAAGTGAAGAGAGATCGAAGTGCGGGAAAAAAAATGGTGGCCTCGTTCTTTGGAAGGATAGGTCATTTTGCAACAATTGTGTTAGAGGATCAAAAAACAGTTTCTGCAGAATGGTACACTACCAATTGTTTGCCACTTGTCTTGGAAAAAGTTCGAGAGAAACGACCTCGCAGTAGGATCCTCCTTCACCACGACAACGCCTCGTCGCACACCGCCAAGCGAACGATCGACTATTTGGCGACATCAAATGTTGAATTACTGGGTCACCCGCCGTATAGCCCCGACCTCGCGCCTTGTGATTTTTATTTATTTCCAAAAATTAAAGAAAAACTTAAAGGAAAGCGGTTTATGAATGCTGAAGAAGCGGTGGCTGCGTATCGCGATGCCATTGAAGAGACCCCTAAGGACGAGTGGGCAAAGTGCTTTTCCCAGTGGTTCCATCGCATGCAGCGGTGTATTGACGTGAATGGACAATATTTTGAAAAGATATAATAAAACTAATAACTGGCTAATGTAATCAGTTTTTGATTTTCTAAGAACTTTCAATTTGACCCTCGTATAGGACGAAAATCGGAGTGATTAATAGGCTTTGATATTTTAGGCAAAGGGATGATATGAGCATCTTTCCATGCATCGGGAAAAATAGAAGAAGAGATAGAAGTATTAAAAATTTTAGTGATGATAGGCGTAAGGATATCAAGCAAGGGAATCAACATATTACGGCTCACACAGTCTTCGCCCATTGCATTAGAAGTGACTGAGAGAATGTTCCGCTTAACGTCACAGTCGGTGACTTGACAAAAAACGAATGAAGGATAGTCAGGAGTAGGTAAATGTGAAAGATACTGTAGGGTCTGTTGCTTAATACTGCTGTTCATAGCGGGTGAAGTTGAAAAATAGTTATTAAGAGAATTAAAGTCAAAATCAAGTGAACAAGAATTAGTATTGTTCGCTGACTTACCGACTCCCACTGACTTCAGGAACCTCCAAACCTTGAATGAATTTCCATTTTCAACTGACTTGTGAATATGGCGTTTTTGTGCATCCCTACACATTGTATTGCAGCGATTTCTAATAGCGTGGTAAGACGATTAAGACGATTTAGTTCAGTTGGTCTAATTTTGAACTTAGATTTAGTGCGGTTTTTCTTGTCCATAACACATCTGTTGTTATCTGTCAGCCATGGTGCTGGAAGATGCTTAACTTTGACCGGATGAACAGAGGCATGGGTGTTATAAAGTTGTAAAAGAAATTTATTAAACAAGTTAACCTGCTCATTAACGGTCGCAGCATTATCAATTAAAGACCAATCAATCTCAATAGCATCAGCTCGAAGGCGATCAATGTCCATACCACCAAAATTACGCAGCATAAGAATTTTAGGTTTAGCTTTTGGAGGTCGGATTTTGTAAGAAAGATACAATAGATCGTGATAGGAGAAAGCATCTGCAGGGATTTGGCCATGTTTAGCAACATGATCCAAGGAAGAAACAATAACCAAGTCCAAAAGCGAGGGAGTACAGTTAGGAAAGTTATGCGTGGCATTTAAAGGGAGGATATGCATATTACTGGCGTCAATCAGATATTTAAGATTTTTGGAGCGGAAGTCATTTTTGAGGAGGCAGGTGTTGAAATCACCCATGATGATTGTGTGTTCAAACGAGGGTGAAAAATCCTCTAAGAGTTTTTCAAAAGAAGGAAAATAATTAATTTTCAAAGACGGACTGTAAAAAACTCCAAGAAGAACCTTTGTGTGTGAGATCATAATTTCGAGGAAAAGATGTTCTGCTGTACCAGAAGGGGGGGGCTGAGCTGAACGACTAATGATAGTGAACGGAATATGGCTACGCAGATATATAGCCACACCACCATGTGAAGTATTAGTTCGGTCATTACGAACTAGGGTAAAACCAGGAAGTGTGTATGAGTTCGTAGGAATAGAAGGATGTAGAAAAGACTCGGAGATCAAGATTGCATGAACATTCCTATTGGAGAAGGTAGATAAAAGATCAGGGTAATGAGCCGGAACGCTTTGAGCGTTGATATGCACCACATTAAAGTTTTTAGATACATCTGATACAGCAATATCAAGGGAAGCTCCTAAAGAAGGTAGGCTAGAGAAACTATCATCACTGTTCAAACCCTCAGAAGAAGATGTACAGGAAAGAAAGTCCTCACTATGATTATCACTGGAATCTCGCATTTGTAACATAGGGTACTCAAGTCACAATACTAAAGATACTGAAAAAAAATAAAACTAATAAAAAGAGATAAAACACAATAACACAAAACACAATACGCACAAATAGCCAGCAACAATACATGAAACAATGGTGACAAATTCAGCTGTACAAAAAATACAAAAAGAATTCGCACCATTAATAAAATTAATTACTAAAACCACTATATAATAAAGACAAAAACAAAAAATAAGATGTAAGGGTGCAGAACGAAACGCAGCAACAAGGGCAAAAAGCTATGAAGCCAGAACCATTAATATGTCAAAGTGACATTGACATGTTGACGTGACAGTACAAAGTAATAAGATGAAATTGAGTTTGATAATGCGGTTAATTAATGTGGAAGTTAACGAAATAGAATTTAAAAAGTTAAGTTCAGACACCCTCACAACTAAAACAATACATTTTTATAAGAAGACAAACGGAAAATTGAATAAAAGACATACAACACCTTGAACAATGACGATACTAAACAAAAACAGTCATCACATCAGCATTACTTTTTAGAAGCTACACGCCTCCGCGATTTGTCTTGTGTCTTCTTAGACGTCTCCGCAGAGGAATGCCCATCCAACGGAACTTTGTCGATATCAGCTAGCGAATCGATGCGGTGTCGTTTCAGATCAGAGCCCAATGCATATATAGAACCATCCCTTGTCCAACACTTGGAAAGCCCAAATCGCTCACGAGCTGCCATAAAAACAATGTGCTTTTCTTTCAATAAAAACTCAGAGATAGTGATGCCCGTACCTTTCAGCTTAGTCTTTGAGAACCAGACTTTATTGCAAATAGATATGTCAGCAAACTTTACAAGGATGGGTCTGGGCTTGTCACCACTAGCACGTCCCATACGATGAGCTCTACTAACATCCTGCTTTGACAGTCCGGTCAGCTCCAAATGTTCAGCGGCAATGCTCACAAAGATACTTAAAGATATCTCCTCATCTCGCTCTGGTACACCATGGATTAATAGTATTCTGCGGCGACTCCTAATCTCACGTTGTTTTGCTTCATGAGTTAGTATTTCTAATTGCTTTTGAAGACTGTTGAGAGAAGATATAACAAAGCATTTGAAACTTTCATAGTTACTTGCCAATGAAGCACTAGAGCCTCCAGAAGGTGCTTTTTGCAGATCTCGCTGGAATGCAGCCATCGTCTCGTTGAAATGTGCAGCTAAATCCTCAACAGATTGCTTGATTGACTCCATTATACAGATGAAGTGCAGTGTATTGAAGTGCAGTTAAGATTGTAGTTTTAGAAAGAAATTATCGATAGGAAAATATTTGTGCTGGCAAATAGTGCCTTAAGCAATCATTAAATGTAAGTAGAATTATCAAAATATTATTAATTATATTTATTTTAATTAATAATACAAGAGCAGACAAAAAGTTGACTTTTTTGCACTACCCGCCCTGAAATTTTAAAACCTACGGAAAAACCTAAAGTATGTGAAACTTTATCAGAAATATTCGCGTTGTTAGGTTCTCCGACAAAAATCGTGCATGATGGGGAACAATCGCTGTGTAGTGAACTAATAAATGAATTATTTCAAACTTTTAATATAATAAATCACACTACAAGTCCGCAACATCATAAATCAAATTCCGATGTAGAAAGATTGCATAGTACTGTTCAAGAATTATATAGATTACAACGCGATTCAGATTTAAATAGAAACCAAAAAATATTTTATATTACGCATGCTTATAATAATACAATGCATAGCGCAATTAACATGACGCCCTTTGAAGTTCACTTTGGAAGAAAACCAAGGTTATGAAGTTTTGAAGATATGCGAGTTATAGTTTAAAATTATACACTTCAACAAAAAGAATTTATAGAAAACTTAAATAAAAATATCGTTGATAAATTAAAGGAACAAATAACTAAAAGAAATAATAGATTAAATAAAAGAATAAGGCCTCCAAAGGAATTTAAAGTAGGAGATACTACCTATCTTAGAAATAGCATGGCAGAGAGACATAAAACTAATCCGCGATTATTAGGACCTTTTAAAATAGTTAGTTCTGAACCAAATAATAAATATAAACTTAGTAATGGTAGAACGTATTATGTGGAAGAGTTAATTGTTACAGAATCACCGTTATCTTCGGATTTAAGTTCCGCCAACTAAATTATGATGTACATATAATTTTAGTAGAAATGAAACCAACTCGAATCGTCGAAGGAAGATGGACGGTTATACGTAAGTTAGATATTAGTTCTATAGTATTAAATATAGAGGTATTAAAAGCAACTATTGCCTCTGCGAAGGTAAGAAGTAAATTAGAGGATGTTCAAAATATATACAATAGAATCAATATTATATTGGATCATTTAGACGAAATTTGTAATCATTTAAATATCCAAACAAAAACTAGAAGTAAAAGAGGATTAATAAATGGATTAGGTTCTATTATTGAAGCCATTACAGGTCATTTAGATCATGATGATTTAATTCATATTAAAAAAAATTTGAAACTTTATAAATTGTTACTAATAAACAAATATCCATAGAAGACGAGTCCTTAGAAGAATTCAATCATCAGATTTAGAAATTACTGATATACAGAAAAGTTTAGATCGACAATATGTGTCTATTAATTATCAAAAGGTTCGTCAAAATTTAGCATTAGGTTTGTTATTACAAGCGTAAACTTTACAAGAAGTAACTGAACGGTTGACCACTGCTATAACGATTGCTGAACATCATATGTATCATTATAGTATAATCCAATCTCATGTTTTACAAAAGACTTTAGATGCTATTCCAGATAATGATTGATTTCTAATAATATAAATAATATAGATTTTTTCAGATCCAAGATTCAGTCTAAACCTAGAACTGAAAAATTGAAGGGGGATAGTCAACTACCTAGTTTGCAAAATGAACATAATAAAAAGAAAATTGATGTTTTCAAGAGAGGAATTCCGGACATAACAAACATCGACAACATTCCACCGACTATTGTGGCACCATGGACTTCAAGGAACGAAACCTAAACTACAACAGAGTATAAAAGCAGGTTGCATCCACTAAACTTGGTTCATATATGGTCTATTAGTAGTACTGTATCAAGGTGTCTGTACAGACACCAAAGTAAAAGTTAGAAACATAAATAATTGTAAAAGTAATATTGTGAATTTTAAATAAAATTTCTTTTTTTAAAACTATCGTTTTTCAAGTATTTTGACTGGCGCCCAACGTGGGGCTCAGCAAGTTACGAAGAAGTTGTGTTCAAGAATTTTTGAAGAAATACTTCCAAGTTCGCTCAACCATTCGTATTGACTCTTGAGTCATTAAAACTTAAAGGCTCCGCAAAATACAAGTTTGTCAAGATATGAAGCAAGTCGTCGGAATTATTTTTTTTTTTTCAAGTATATCGTTTTTCAAGTATTTTGACTTGTGTATCGATTATAAAACTATTTCAATTGTGTAGTTATTTAGTATTACTTAACAGAATTCTAAACTACTGGGCTTCTTTCTTTCTCATTAGTGTTTATTTAAGTTAATTATTTCATATATTTTTTTAAATATGTTTTTACGCAGTCGAGTCTTTTGTTTTTCATTAAATTATTTTTACACGAATATAAAAATAATCTTCTATCAATAGGATATATTTTATTATCTTTGTCTTTGTTAAACATTGTATAATGATAACATCATGTTTTTTTTAAATATCTCGAAGCTCTTATACAATATAAGGGCGAGATATTAAAAAAAAATCGTTTTTATTTTTTCCTGTAATGTTGACTTTTTTCACTTTATTCGATCCGGCTGTCGATATGAAATTATTTTACCTACGTAAAGCTATATCCTACACGGTTGACATAAGATATATTATTTTAATATATATTAGTAACAGAAGTCAGGCAGTTTTTGTAATGAGTTACATTTCCCAATTCCATCCAGTTTCATCCGGTGTTCTCCGGTGTTCTGGTGCTGGTCCGTTGCTGTTTTAAGAAAACATAAATGATATGGATGAGACTATGAAACAAAGCCAGTATCTAAAGTTATATCGAGTGATAAAATCTCCCACAGATTGTCGTAAACTCTAGGAGGACCTTACTTCCCTAAACGCTTACTTTATTACCAATCAACTGTTTCTCAATACAGATAAAAGTTCCACAATATCCTACAAACGTAAGAAAAATAAAGTATAGTTACAATATAAACGGCAAGGTTCTACAAAGAATGACTAGAACTAGGGATTTGGGTATCATGGATTCTGCATTGTCATTTAATCCTCATATTGATAACGTAGTTGCTTCGGTATTTTAGGCTTTATATTGCGAATAAGCAAACCCTTCAGTAGACCAAGTACGTTAAAAATCTTGTACTTCGCATTTGTTTGGTATTTTTTTAATTTTTTCCAGTACCTTATGGAATCCATGTAATGAAATTCGTATTAATAGAATTGAGAGAGAAAGTCCAGAATAGATTTCTAAAATCCGTAAATTAACGCCAAAATAACTTAGTAGAAACATGCTCATCTTCTCTTGATTGACATAGTGTGATGTCTCTCCGTAACAGGCGTAAAAAGTTTGATATGGTATTTCTCTATAAGATTCTAAACAATCTTAATAACTCTACGTTATTACTCAGTAGCATTTCTTTTACTTCTCGTGTTCGACTACCAATGCGCTCCTCACGCTTACTTGTAAAACTTTTGTTGGTCACTCAAATTTATAAAACAAAATTGTAACGTTTGAATTTGACAAACATAGGAGCTCAAACTATATTATTGTTAAGAATTGGTACATTTTATAGGCACTATGTATCTATTATAAATTCAATAAATTAAATTTATTTTAGCATGGTTTCTATGCTTTAGTTATTATTCTAAATTATCATTTAAATATTAAGTATTAAAAAAGTAGCTATAACATCTTCCAAAGCCGTAAAAATTATTATAAAAAACAGTATTACCAGCAGTCATGTGCATGTTTTAATAATCTATAATAGAGTACGTTAACCCTTCGTAGGTGACTGTTCACTGTAAAATATTTTATTTTCTTAAACGGAAGTTCAATCTGCTACATAATTTATTAGCAACGCGGGTGCGGCTTTGCATGGATGCTAAGTATTTCTCGAGTTCCTTTTCGACAAATGAAACCGCATAGACATAATTTACGTGTGCCAATTGACAGACACGGAGAATGAAAAAGACGGAGAACGATTTCAATTTGGAATATCACAATCTGGGAATTACAAGAACTGAAACGCGAGCGGTTATCACGGAGCATCATGTGACGTCACATTTCTATATATTTAACGACGTGTTTGTTGCAAGTGTACTAGTACTAATTTATTGAAATGTGACGTCACAGCTCCAAAACTCACTTGACTGGTTGTTTTCGCGGGACAATTTAAACTAATGAATAAAAATATTTTTTTCTTTTATTTAATAACTCGTTTGGAGAAATTTGAATCTGACGGTGACATAATCATAGGAATTTTATGATACTTAAGAAGCTAATTGCTTTTATATAAAGAAAAACGTTCAAACAAGCTTAAAAAATGAGAAACTTCATATTTATAGCATTCTGTCACAACCAAACAATGAATTTTATAAAGTTATATCTCAATATAATAACATCAACAAGTTATGCTAGTTAATATTGTGAATTATCACACAATGTTTGCCATCTGTTGTTTTAATTATACACGTAAAATATCAATTTTCTCTACAAAAAATAGAGAAAATTGTTGTTATAAGTGAGTAGCATTAAAACTGTTTTATCCAGCATGTTTACAATAATCGTAATAGTTTTCCAGTTATTAATTTTAGTTTCTTGTAATTAACTAACATGCTATCCTTATCCATTACATAGCCCGGCGCGATGAGATAGAAGGAGATAATCTTTTAAGTATGCGCCCCTTCTTAAGAAGACGTTAAAGCGATTGTTACTCTTATTATTATTATTATCATAGATAATTTTTCATTTATCACCGTATTTGCGTTAGTTTTTTAATCTCATTTGGATATGTTTTTATCTATTAAATATTTTTTTATCCATTATCCATTAAATACCAAAAGGAAATTTGTTTGCCTGATAATTCAACTGATTCTTTTCTATTTTACTCCACGATATCTTTCGTTAATAGTTTACCGATATTTATGACTCCTTTTTCTCCTACTAACATCGGATATTGAAATATTATGTACATTAAATTTTAATAGTTTCAAGAGTATGATGAGAGACTATACATTTATTCTTGCCATTTTTTTTTTCAGATATTCATCCCATCATCGAAAGATATCTTAATGCCGTTGATCCTGGCCGCAAAATGCTACCATTAACACCCACAAATCTGGTTTGAAGCCGCATGGGTTATGGCCTATTCTTCTTATAAGTTATTTATATAGAAAATGCACATACAGCAAGTGATAAAGGAAAGGCCTCTTAACACTAAGAGGCTGGTAAATATGAAAATTGACAATTTAGATAAACTACTCATACAATGTTTCGTCTATTTACAGGGGAAGTTCATTTCGTAGATGATGTAATTATCTTTGACCTATATAATAGTAATAGTGATTTTATGAGCTTAATTGAAACCTTAGCAGCTTAATTGAAGCAGGGTTACCATGACTTACCGTCCTCGCTATTAAGATTCGCAATTATCTTCTTTGCGTAGTTCGAGAGCCTCATTAAATTTAAGAAAATTGTGTTGTGAGGGTATATGTCTCGGTGCGTATGAGCCGCAGACTACAACCTGACAACTAACTCTGCACCTCTGCTAGAATCATCTAGGTAAAGTTGTGACGGGTTCGGTGCTTGGGTCAATTAATACGATTGACTAGCTTGAGTATGGATTTATTAATTGTATAAGGATAAAATAAAGAAACTGTAACAAACAAAAAATGAATATAAAAATAGTTCGTATCTTACCTAATTATACTTTGGCAGTCAAGCAGCACTCAATGCCATATATTCGAGCGTGATAAATTCGAAACTGGTAAAGGAATGTATTGACAAATTGAATGAACTGGGGCAAAAGAATAAAATTATTCTCAAATGGGTATCAGGACACTCGGGCATCATCGGCAATGAAAAAGCGGATGAATTAGCAAGGGCTGGAGCACAGGGACTACAAACAGGACCAGAGCCCTTTTGCGGTATCCCTAAAAACCATGTGATGCAAATTTTAAAAAATGACCTGCAAAGGGATTAAAAAAAATACTGGCAAAAACAGCCGGGATTAAATCACGCTCAATCCCTGATTGAAGGTCATTCACAAAAACTAGCTGATGAGCTCTTGAAGCTGATGTAAGCTCAAGTGTACGAGCCTTATCTGGACACTGCAAATTAAACAGATACCTATTTAAAATGAAACTAAGTGACACTGACATTTGCAGATATTGCAAACAGGAACGTGAAACACCAAAACATCTCCTGTGTGAATGTGAACCACTGATCCACAAACGAATCATACGTCTGGGACGACATATAATCAGCCCAGAAGATATAAAATATCTTAAAGCCAGGAATATAATAGACTTTTTTAAGTCTACCGGGCTAAAGGAGTTACTATAGCTCTGGCGACGAGTCACAATAGATCTTCAAGGTCGCAGTGACTACAGTTCCTCAGGGAACTGCATAGCCCCATACAGCAGTAAATAATAATAAATACCTAAATATAAATTTTTAAATGACCAAAT